GAGCCACTTTTGAGGGCCTTACCCTGCCTGGGGAGTAGAGGGGGGATGGGTAGGGGCAGGTGGGAGGGTGGGGGGAGGGGAGGGAGAGGGAGAAGGGATTGACATGTGAAGCAAGCTTGTTCCTAATTTGAACTAACAAAAGAATAAAATAAAAAAAAATAAATGAGGCTAGTATAGTGATACATACCTATAATACCAACATCTCCACAGCTATAGGCCTAAGAAGATCCTAGCAAGAACCTATGTCACAAAATAAAACATGAATTAATAATTGAGAAAAGTTTAGGCAAAGAGAAAATGTGTCTGGGAAAATAACTAGCCAGGCATAAATTAGACACAAAAACGTAGAACATAAGGTTATATGTATTAGAAATCAGTCTGTGTGTAGAACTCTAGTGCAAAAAGGTGAGCAGACAGCTTCATTCCCCGGAGAGCCTGTCAGCCATGGTCTGAATTAATTCTGCTGCTTGACTGTGTTCAATTTGTTTCTAATCTCCAGAGAGTTACGTAAAGCTGAAAAGGCTGTGAGTGGGGTCTTCATTTAGAAAGAGCAGTGCTTTTTCCAGTCAGAAATATGCTTTTGTTTTTATCTTTGCAGGTTATATGGAGGAATGAATTACCGTCGGCTAGGAGGTGGTGTCGGAGTTATTAAAATGACACATTGTGAATCCCATATATGGTGAACACAGAAAAAAGTCTTGCATATGCTCTTTATATTTGGAAGAGCCTTGACTTTGAAACTTTGTACAGCTTGAGAAAACATTAGAACAAATTTTATTCTTTGCCGGTGCCTCAACCTACAGAACTACAAGTCTAACGATGGAACTCACCTGCAGATGCCACCTTTGCACAATACCTTTCCACTCTCTGCAGAAGAGTGTATATTTTTGGCTTTAATTTATCATGGAGTTGTGATGGGGATTTTTGTTTTGTTGGCTTGGGTCATTTGGGGTTTTTTTGTTTGTTTGTTTGTTTGTTTGTTTTTATCTTTCCTACCATGGGAAAAAAAAGAGAGAGAGAAAAATTCTAAGCTGCAAAATGTACTTTGCTTTCTATGTTTTGGTTTGATTTTGAAAATACTGATAAAGGCAGAAGGGCTATGTATGACCTGGTTGTTACTCCTATTAGACACTATACATCTACAAAGATTGCCAGTGATAATAATAGATATGCAAAATATATTCGCTACTTACCATTCTTGCACTAAATATTAGAATACTCCAAAATGTAAAGGGGACGGGAAATGGTCCATTAAGAGCATATGCTGCTTTTGCAGAGGACCCAAGTTCAGTTCCCAGCACCACATCTGAAAGCTCACAACTGTGTGTAACTCCAGCTAGGTCAGTGGTTCTCAACCTCCCTAATGCTGCAACCCTTTAATACAGTTCCTTGTGTTGTGGTGACCCACGACCATAAAATTATTTTCATTTGCTACTTCATAACTAATTTTTGCTACTGTTATGAATTATAATGTAAATATCTTATATGCAGGATATCTGATATGCAAACCCTGTGAAAAGGTCTTCAACTACCCCCATCCCCCCACTCCCACCCCCAGTAATGACCCACAGGTTGAGAACCCCTGAGCTGGCGGCTTCAGGACTCTCTTCTGGCCTCTACAGGTACCTGCCCTCCTGTACATTCACAAACACAAACAATCCCCACAAGTATGAGTAATTCAAAATAAATTTTTTTTAATGTAAAAGAAAAAAATAAGAAAACATCTCACTAAATAGGACAATTGAGAAGGAATATCAAATCCATAAAAGCAGGACAAGCTACAGCTTTCATCACCAGTAGGCATTTACATCTGTCTAATTGAATTGCTTTCTACTCCGTGTCCCTTTTTTTCCTGTAATATTTTCATAGCGTTTCTGCCACATGTACCTAGGTCTCTGCTCAGTGCCTCTTATAAAAACAGTGTGAGTCTCATTGGTTGTCTTGAGAACTCCAGTAAAATCAAGTGCAACTCTATAAGAGTTTCTGTTCACAGATGGAACCATCTGCAACTTTCTTTGCTATCTCCTCATTGCCACCAGGGGCCACCAAGGAGAAATGACTTCTCTCCAGCAGTGGATTCTGTTTTTCAGTTTACAGTGGATGTTCCAGCCTGGTGAATCTGAGCTGACCTTCAATAACACGCTGCAAAGGAATGATGTCTTCAGTTCATGTTAGCAGTACATGTGAAGGGTTGCCAAGCCAGCTAGAGGATCCAGTCAGAGCTGGGTCTTTATGCTAATTATATTTCACTAGCTTTCATCCCATAAGGCCACTGTTACTATGTCTCTTAAGTTGCACTTTCTGATGAAAGGTTAAAATTTTTAAGGAAATAAATGAAAATTGTAGTGCCTAAGGTCCTCTCCCCACTATAGTCATAGACTGATTTTTCTTTCAGTGTATTTTGCAGGAAAACCTTTGAATGAGACTTTAGCCACAACCAAAAGGAATAACCTTGACCTTCTTCCTCTCCCCTACAACAAAACGTTTGGCAACTTTTGTGTTTACATTTAAACATCATTTGCACCTTTTTCAAGGAAAAAAATAAGTATTTGGTAAACAATTGTTTACATGTATCATTTATGCTTTTTTCTAGCATGTATAACTTTTTAAAATAAAGGTAGTATTTACCATAAAATGTTTTAATTTTTTGTTTTTAACTTTCTTACATTGTGTGTGTGTGTGTGTGTCTTGAGTGTGTGAGTATGTAAGGGGTGGGGTAGAGCATGCCCTGGCACCAGAGAACAATTTGTAGGAGACTTCTTCCATTGTGTGGGTTCCAGGAATCAAACTCAGTTCATCAGGCTTGGCAGCAAGTGTCTTTACCTGCTGAGCCATCTCTCCAGTCCTAATTACTCCTATTTGGCACTTCTAACTTTACCGTTTATTTGGATTTTTTTATTTTTTGTATCTTAATTACTTTTATATAAAGTTAGAAGTATTTCATCCTGAAAGTGATATAATGAAGACTTCTCCTTATATATTTTATATTACCCAATCTGTAAACATATTTTCTGGTGTATACGAGTACAATTCTGGACCGAAAGGAGTAATTCTTTAGTCCAAACCCATTTAATACACTCACCTAAGTCTGAATACCAAGGAAGTCTGCCTGTATATTTAATGATGGAACTGGTATTACATATTTTCCCAAAGCCCCATTCTGCCTCTTTTTAAACCACTAGAGTTATCTGAAACATAACCTACAATAAATACTGTTCAATATCCCTTAATGGTCTGTGCCTTAGTCGATGTTCTATTGCTGTGAAAAAGACCATGACCATGATAACTCTTATAAAGGAAAACATTTAATTAGGACTGACTTAGAGTTCAAAGGTTTAGTTCATTGTCATCATGGAAGCATGGCAGCATGCAGGCAGACATAGTGCTGGAGTAGTAGCTAAGAGTTTTACATGGAGATCCACAGGCAATTGGAAGACAGACACTGGAACTGATTTGAGTTTCTGAAACCTCAAAGCTCTATAATGTCATACCTACTCCAACAAGGCCACACCTCCTAATAGTGTCACTCCCTGGTGACCAAGTGTTCAAATATATGAGCTATGGAGGCCATTCCTATTCAAAGCACCACAGTGTGTGGTGCTTTGTTGGGTCTTTATGTGGTTTGGGTATCAGGGTAACTGACTGTAGAATTCTATACTAAAACCATCTGGCCCTGGGCATTTTTTGGCTGGAAGACTTTTTTTCTCTCATACAATACATCCCAATGGAAGCTTCCTCTCGCTCTACTCCTCCCAGTCCCCTCCCCACACCTCCCCTCTTCCTCCCAGAATGGCTGCTTTTTTTTTTTTTTAAAGATTTTATTTATTTATTTATTATGTATACAACATTCTGCTTCCATGTATATCTGCACACCAGATTTCATAACAAATGGTTGTGAGTCACCATGTGGTTGCTGGGAATTGAACTCAGGACCTCTGGAAGAGCAACCAGTGCTCTTAACCTCTGAGCCATCTCTCCAGCCCCCCAGAATGGCTGCTTTTATCTCATTGTTACAGGTCTGTTTAAATTGCTTACCTGATCTTGACTTAACTTTGTTAAGTGGTATATATATCAAGAAAATTAATTTTTAGATTTTCCAATTTGGTGGAGGAAAGGTTTTTAAAAGTATGTTCTTATAACTCTGGATTTCCTTGGTGCTGCTATGCCCCCCTTTTCTAACTTTGTTAACTTGGATTTTCTCTCTCTGCCTTTTAGCTAATTTGAATAGGGGTTTGCCAATCTTATTTTCTCAAAGAACCAACTCTTTTGTTGGTTGTATATTATTTTATCTCTACTTTGTTGATTTAATCCCTGAGTTTGTTTCTTCCTGTCTACTCTTGGGTATGATTTCTTAGTTTTGTTCTAGAGCTTTCAGGTATGTTGTTAAGTTGCTAGTATACCATCTCTCCAATTTTTTTATGTAGGCACTTAGTGCTTTTTAACTTACCTCTTAGAACCACCTTCATTGTGTCCCATAAGTTGGGTATTGGTGTGTATTCATTATCTGGAACTTCCAATGGCCATACCCATCAAGATCCCAGAAGACTTTCCTAGCATGCAATACACAGACACCACTCTCTCCTAAGAAGCAGAGGGTAATAGATACTAAGGAACAAAACAACTACCCAACCAAGACAGGACAAGATATCAGTGCCTCAAATTATAATCTTCCCAAACCCAGATGCCTAGTATCATCATAAAAACATAATCAGTAACAGCCAGGACAATATGTCTCCAGTACAGCTAGCAACTCTACCACAGTAGGTCCTGAGAATTGCACCATAGCTGAACTGCAAGACAAAGCTCTTAAAATAGCCTTTATGAATAAATCCCTTAAAGAAATCTATGAAAACACAAATAGTGGAGGGAAATTAATGAAACAGTTCAAGGTTTAAAAGTGGAAATAGAATCAATAATAATAACTGAGGGAAATCTGGAAATGAAAACAGGAACTTCAGAGGCAAGCCTCACCAAAAGAATAAATGACCTAAATCAGAAACACCAGATTTTAGATGTTTATTTGATTAAGTTGGACACTTTTATATTAACAACTCAGCATCTTCTACAGCATTACACATTACAACGTGACCACAGTGATATGAAGGGTCCAGAAGCACGTGAACATGGCTCACCCACTATCACTGCTTTGTTCTAGATCCACCGAGGAAACGCCAAAGGCACCACCAAAAACCAGGTGCTACATGTCTTCCACTGCCCCACTTGGAATAGCAACTCAGGAAAGAACTGAGAGGATTTATAATGCATCATTTGTAGTCCATACGAGAATTCACTCAGTTTTAAAAATTGCCAGTTCTGTCATATATGCCAACACACCAATAAGGTATTTATGACACAGAATCTGTAAAAGAAAAAGAAGAGAAGATTTTAAAATTAAGATAGTATTATGATGACAAAACAATTTGATATTAGGGTTTTGTTTTGTTTTTGTTGATTCTACTTATTGATTTTTATATTACCTCCATATTTAATTTACTTAATTTTTTTATTGATTTTATATACCAATCACAGTTCCCTCCTACTCCCCTCCCACCCTCCTTATTTATTTTTAATTACATTGTTATGTGTGTAGGTATATGCACACGAATCCAAGTGCCAGAAGAGACCAGAGGCATCTGATCTCTTGGAGCTAGAGTTACAGGTAGCTGTGAATGGCCTGGTGATGGTGCTGGGAACCCAACTTAGATCCTCTGCAAGAATGATGCAGTTCTCAAGCAGCTGAGCCTAGTTAAAGCTAATTTTTAAAAAGCCAGAAGGTGGTGTTGGATCCTCTGGAACTGAAGACACAGATGATTGTGACCTACCCAATATGAGTACTAGGAACTAGGCTCTCGTCCTCTGCAAGAACAGTACATGCTCTCAATCACTGAACCATCTCTCCAGTCCTTGTTTTAGTTTTTTTGAGACAGGGTTTGAAGTAGCCCAAGCCGGCTTTGAAACCCTATGTTGCCAAGGATAACCTTGAACCACCGATCCTCCTGCCTTTACCTCCCAAGTGCTAGAATTAGAAGCATGTGCCACTATATTAAGTTCCTTTTGTTTTTAATGCTTAGCTCTTCTCATCAAAATGACTTTCCAGCCTATTATATTTCATTTTGACCTCCAGTTTGAAAATGTGAGTAATATAGTATTCATGGAACATAAGACATAAAATTTAGTTCAAATAGTGACTCATGTTCTCTTTATTTACTTATTAATTTATTTTTGGTTTTTCGAGACAGGGTTTCTCTGTGTAGCTTTTGGAGTCTGTCCTGGAACTTGCTCTGTAGATCAGGCTGGCCTTGAACTCACAGAGATCTGCCTGCCTCTGTCTCCCAAGTGCTGGGATTAAAGGTGTGTCGAACTACCGCCCAGCTTCCTTCTTTTTATAAAAAAAATTAATTTTTTGTGTGTCTTTATGGATGTATGTGCATGCCATAGCACATGTGTGGAAGTCAGAGGCTAACTTTCAGGAGTCAAGTCTCTCCTCCAACATGTGGGATCCAGGATCAAATTTAGATTATTCTGCTTGGCAGTAAGCGCCCTTACCCACTTAGCAATACGATGCCCACTATGCCAGCACCATACATCCTCTTCTTCCTAGTCTATCTTGAATGTGTCCTCTAAACTTATGATGGCCTTGATTTCCTTGTTTTAAAATAAGACATGGATTAAATATACAATATTGTTCTAAAAATTAGTTTAATATCTACTAGGCACAGAAAGACAAAAATGGCATGGTGTCATTCATAGCAAAAGCTAAAAACGTTGATCTTGATGAGTAATGGTACACAGACAGCTATGATCCCAGTATTTTGGAGGGGAGGCGGGAGGATTGGAAATTCAACATCATCTTCTGCTATATAATGAATTCAAGGCTAGCCTGGGCTACATGAAACCCTTCCTCAAAACAAATCTCATAGAAGAAAATAGTGGTCACCAACAGCTAAGAGATAGAGAGGGGTTATATAATGGGTAGCAAAATACAACCAGTTAGGAGGAATTACTTCTAATGTTGTTATAGCACAGTTGAGTGACTCTAGTCTACAATTTATTAACTATTTCAAAGTAACTAGGATAATACAAAGAAAAGATAGAGATGGAAATGTTAAGTACTGTAACTCAACTCCTTTTGTGTCATACTGCACCTGTAAGTATATACAAATAGGACAGAAAGAATGTATGTAGCTCAGTAGCTGAGAACTTGCCTAGCATGTACAAGGCAAGTTGAATTCCTACCATAAACAATAAAAGGACAAATACACAGAAAAGTTTTAAAGTAGAAAGAAAAAGTAGAATCAATCTGTTAAGAGTGTTAACAATGACAAAATAATACAAAACAGTCACTGGATGTATATAGGGATGTGTACTTAAATATATCTTAAGGGGACTGGAGAGAAGGCTTAGTGACTAAGAGCACTGGCTGCTCTTCCAGAGGACCCAGATTCAATCCCCAGCATCCTTGTGACAGTTTACAAACAAACTCCAGTTTTAGTGAATCCAAAGGTTTCCTCTTCTAGCATCCATGGGCACTGGACATGGAACACACATGGTGTACAGATAGATATACATGAAAAACACCCATATACATAAATAAAAAAAATTTTAAAAAGATATATATATATATATACACATACATTTCTTAAATATATATATATATATATATATTTTTTTTTTTTAAGAAACTATGTTTCTCTATAGAACATAAAAACCATGTCTCTGTGACTTCCTTTCTAATGTCAATAGGAAAGCCTAGAAGGCAAAGATGACATCCTGTCACTGGCTATAATTTATCCCACACATACAAATGCTGGTGGCGCACACCTTTAATCCCAGTGCTAGGGAGACAGAGGCAGGTGGATCTCTGTGAGTTCGAGGCCAACTTGGTCTACAAAGCGAGTTTCAGGACAGGCTCCAAAGCTACACAGAGAAACCCTGTCTTAAAAAACCAGCCCCCCCCCCCCCAAAAAAAAAGCTGTTATTTTAATAATTATTTCAAAGTTTGTCAATTTTGAAAATTTCAGTTGCTTGAGAGTAGTTCATATTACTCAGCTGTATAGTACACAATACATAGTGCCCTTAGGGTTGGCTTGAGGTGCCTAGAGACATTGGTGGGTCATTAACAAAGCATATAATAAATTTCTCTAATGTCTTGAACTGCTATGCATTCAAGTGTGTTTCTCCTTGTAAAAATATAGTCACCACACATTTGGAAAACATGACAAGAAGAAATTTAATTAGATGTGTTCAAACTAACCTTTATTTTCCCATCAGTGTGTGCTGAAGCTACAGATGTCGAGACACGAACCAATCTTGTGGCTGATAAGTGAATTCTGAAATGCCTATGGAAATGTGAATAAAGGCAGTCCATAAATAAGTCAACTTCCTCTTGGGTAACTTCCCCAGGTGTTTTGTGGACACTGTCCCATAAAGCTTTTGCATCCTCTGGATGAATTGCATAAGAAATATCCAAGCTTTGAGGGCTACAGGGCACAGACCAAAAAAATTCAGTAGTAGCCATGTAATGGTCCATTTCGCATGCAGTCCACATAGCAGCCATCCAGGAAAGATGAAACGCACTGATTGCTAAAGGACTGAAGCAACAGTCAAAGGTTTTCTGAAACCAGCCTCCGATTAAAGATGTATTGGACTCTGCTCCATTTGCAAGGAATAGGGGTAGACAGGTGAAGTCTTCTGAAACAGTCTCCAGAAGACTCTCTCCAAAGACACAGCAGAACCAACCAGTCCACAACACTCTACCTTCTCTGTGCTCTCTGGATGACTGAGATTTTGAAAGAATCTACAAGGAAAAGCCAAAACAAGTTCATTAAATTCAAAATACCATTTACTCCTAAAATTTATTTTCTCAAAATTAATGAGTATATTAAAAACAAGAACAAGCATGGTAGCACATGCTCGTAATTCAAGGCTGAATCAGGAAGACAAGGAGTTTGAGGACAGCCTTGGCTACAAAACAAGTTTGAGGCAAGCCTAGTCTATGGAATACTGTCTCAAATAATTAATATATATATTATATGTTATACGTATATATTGAGAAACAGAGAGAATAGTGCAATAGAAACAGAACTGTTGTATGAGTAACTACTTTCTGATTAGATTTGAGGTCTGCTCCACAGGAAGGAATTCATGTCCAGGACTATAAACATTAGCTCTGGTGGGCAAAGTACTGCTGTTTTATTGCTTAGTGGACAAGTCCCTATCAAATCGCCTTCTAAAAATATTTATGTTGTGCTCACAGATGAATAAATACTGCTGTTATCTTTGGCCAGAATTTTCTTTTTGCTGTGGGCCACAGTAAACCACAGAAGCTTACAACTGGCCAGTGCTGAGAGTAAGTGGAGGTTGAACAGCTCTAGATCACTCCTGACACTTAGGGAATAGCATGCATGGGAGAGTAGAGACAGAGAAAGAGGTGGAAGTGATATGGAATGCTGTCTTCCGAATATAACCTGGCAATTGCTCTCTTGAATTCTCAGCAGCTATGATTACCTGCAGAAGACTGGGTTCCTCAACATTCTGACTTGAAAGAGGGAGAAACTCACAAAGTCCCACAATGATTTTTCTTTAGTGGAAAAGCCACCAGCAAGTTGCCTATGTGCCTGTAAATAACCCCTCACCCATGGTCCTAGAAATAGCCCTAATTAAACTCCCGGGTCACCAAAACCCATGACAGGAAAGTGGAAGGGGAACCAGTTGAGAAGAGGAGATCAGCAGGAGTGGGAGAAACTCAAGGGATAATGATCAAAATACATCACATGCATGTGTGAGACCCATCATTATATGTAGTTTACATATGCTAATAAAACACACTTTAAAAAAAGAACCCAAACATATGTGTGAGCCACTATATTCAGCTCCTTTTTTTTGAAAATACTGGCCTTTTTAAAAATACTCTCTCTCCCCTAATATCTATAATTAAATATGTACTAAAAGTGATTTTCAATAAACTCCAACCTTGCTTCATTAAAAAAATAAAATTAAAGCAATAAAAATAGCTGATACAAAACCACAAAAAGGAGCTTCTCTAATCATTAATCAAAATATTGACTTTTGGACAATATTTTTCTATACTACAGATACAGCATATGGCAAGATCTTGCCAAAAAACAAATTAGGAAATCCTTCTATGGTCCACTCAGGTACAGTATCTTGGGGGGAAAACATTCCCAACTTTAGAAGGTTCTACAGAAGATATTCAAGTCCAACAGCTTATGTTTTGCCATTGAAGAGGAACATTTCCCACAGCAACTCTTTCCATCAACTTAAAATGTTCTTCCATGTTGCATAAAGTTCCCATCGACTGCATCACCTTCTTCACTGTGGGCATGTAAGACAAATAAAATCTAATCTATCTTCTACAGGAAAAGCCCTCAGACACCCGCTGGTCCACACCACATACACTAAGTTCAAGGTCTCCAGTGTCTTCAACCCATTCTTCCTAGGGCATACACTTACAAGTTCCCTTCTCTGAACTTCTTATGCATAGGAGCCATCCAAAAATGAACATATTTACTTCAGAAAAGTTTAATTACAAGGCCCTAAGAATCTAACTCACTGGCAAAGTACAGAGTATATACAAGGCTCTAGGTTAGAAAAAAAAAATCTGATTAGATCATCATCTTTGACCTAGATTGTACTATTGATATAATCTAAGATTATAGACCTCTAGTTTTTAGTTGATAGCTTTATATAAAAAAAAATACCCAGGACTGAAGAAATGGCTCAGCAGTGAAGAGCACTTGTTGCTCTTGAAGAGGACCAGGTTCAATTCCCAGTACCCACGTGATGGTTCACAACCATCCATAATTCCCATTCCAGGTGATCTGATGCCCTCTTCTGACCTCCAAGGGCAGCAAGCACACATGTGGTCAGACATACAAACAAGCAAAACACACATGAAATAAAACTAATAAATCTAGTTTTAAAAAATTTAAAGGCCCAATACATTCATCTTTGCTATTATATGTAAAATGTCAATCTCCCCTCAACCTATATTAAGGCAGTACAATTACTTCTACCAAAATTTAAAGTTCTTTCAATTTGGTCCACTGTTCAAGACAGTTTAAAATTGCTGGGTGGTGGAGGTGCATGCCTTTAATCCCAACATTTGGGAGGCAGAGGCAGGCTGATCTCTGTGAGTTCGAAGCCAGTGTGTTCTAGAAAGCTAGTTCCAGGACAGCTAGGGCTATTACACAAAGAAACCCTGGGTGGGGGGGGGGGGGTCCTTAATTATTTTCACATGACTAACCCCTCAAATTTCCCAGTGTGAATTACATAGCAAACATACCTTCAAAATACCTCATAATAGTTTTTGTTAAAGTACTGACCAGGGCAACATTTAAATCATTGCCCCATCATAGTTTTTGTTTTTTGAGACAGAGCTTTGTTATGGAATATTTGTTTAGTGATGCAAGATGTGTTGCATTCTTTTATGTTGCATTTGTTTAACTCTGTAAAGCTGTGTTACTTTGCCTGTCTAAAATACCTGATTGGTCTAATAAAGAGCTTAACAGCCAATAGTTATGTAGGAGAGAGAAATAGGCAGGGCTGGCAGGCAGAAAGAATAAATAAAAGGAAAGAGAGAAGAGGGGAAAATGAGAAAAGGAGGAGAAGAGGATGCCAGGGGCCAGCCACCCAGCCACACAACCATGGAGTAAGAAAGAAAGAGAGGTACATAGAAAGGTATATAGAGGTATATAGAAAGGGAAAGGTAAAAGCCCAGAGGCAAAGATAGATGGGATAATTTAAGTTAAAAAAAGCTGGCTAGGAACAAGCCAAGCTAAGGCCAGGCATTCATAAGTAAGAATAGGTCTCCGTGTATTTATTTGGGGTATTATTTAATCTTTGGCAGGCCCCCAAAATAAGAGGTCTGCCTGCCTGTCTCCTGAGTGTTGGGATTAAAGGTATATGGCACCACCACCTGACCCCATCGTATTTCTTACTAAATGATCATTTACTTTCTTTTATCATATCTCCTTACTCAAGAGATCATGGAGGATTTAAACATCTCCAAGACCAAGCAGACTATATGTATCACACTCTCATGACCTAAGAATCCGGGCAGCTTATCAAGAAATGAGATTTTGAAGCCCACTGTTTTTCAAAGTGGGTGTAAAACTTTTTTGTAATGCATGAGGGTTCCAAGTTCTCCATACCTTCAACCACATTTATTATTATTATATTGGGGAGGGGGGGTGAGGCAGGGTTTCTCTGTGGCTTTGGAAGCTGTCCTGGTAGTTCTTGTAGACCAGGCTGGTCTCAAACTCAGAGATCTACCTGCTTCTGCCTCCCAAGTGCTGGGATTAAAGGCGTGCACCACCATTGTCCAGCCAACCACATTTATTATTATTATTATTATTATTATTATTATTATTATTATTATTGTGTTCTGTTTTGCTTTGTTTTGTTTTTGAGACTGGTTCTCCTGGAAGTCACTACATAGACCAGGCTGTCCTCATACTCTGAGACCTATCTGCTTGCCTCTGCCTCTCAAATGCTGGGACTAAAGGCATGTACCACCATGCCTGGCTTATTATTTTGTTTTTTATTTATAGTCTGTAGTAGTGATCATACTAATGAAAGGCTTTGGTTTGTACTAATGGGAAAAATGATCTTTTCAACTCACTGGCAGTTTGTGAAGATGGCCTTGTGCTATCCCTATTGTAAGCTAAATTCAGCAAAAGGAGATTTGAAAATCCTTAGAATGATGCCGTTTAAAATTTTGTTTTAATTTGTGTTTAATTGCATTTTTCTTCTAACTCCTTGAGCTGTATACTTCCTTGGGTAATCATCCCTAGTTTGTAACATCTGCATTGCACTTTTGCCTTTTTTTTTTTTTTTTTTTAATTCTTCTCTTGGCAGTCTTTCAGGTATTTGAGGTCAGAATCATTTGGAATTTGCCTGATAACTGGAAGAATCTTTGTGCTATATGGCATTACCATCACTGGAGAGAATAGGGAAGCAGCAATATCCACCAAACTGGCCATCCCTCTACAACCCTATCCTGTAGGAAATGGACTTTTTCTTAAAGAGCCAAACAGTACCAGGCATGGTTGTGTACATTGTAATCCCAGCATCTGAGAGGTGAAGGCAGAAGGACTTCAAGGCAACTCAGCATAACTTAAAACCACTGTGAGTCCAAGGCCACCCTAGGCCACATGAGATCCTATCTCAAGAAAAATAAAAAACAAAGAACAGGTGAGGAAGGCCAGATATTAAATATTTTACTTATGGAACTACTTGAAGTCTCTAGCTACAGCCCAAAGGTGGCCATAGACAATACAGAAGCAAATGAAATGGGCTATGTTCCAAGAAAAAAAAATTAATTAACAGAAACAAGAAAAAAAGTTGGGCATGGTGGCTAAGGCAGGACTGCCCCCAAGTCTGAGTGTCAGGTCAGCCAGGGATAAAAGTAAGACTGTCTTTTGGGAAAGACAGAGAGAGCGCCAGCCTACACATGACTTTGCTGACCTCTAATTTGTACAAATGAATTTAGTCTTTTTCTACAGCTTGAGAATTAATTTCCTTTTTCAAAGGTTAAGATTAGTTCATCCGAGCTGGGCACAGTCACACAAACTTTTAATCCCAGAAAGAGGCAGTCAGATCTCTGTGAGTTCTAGGCCAGCCAGTGCTACACAGGAAGACCCTATGTCAAGAAAAAGGAGGAAAAAAAAGGTAGGGGTGGGAGGAAGATGTGGATATTAGTAAATATGGCAGAGTGTGGCAGCATACATTTTTAATTCTGAACTCAAGAGGCAGAAGCTGGAAGATCTCTGTGAGTTCAAGGACCTTCTGGTCAACATAACAAGTTCCTGCTCAGCCATCCAGGGCTACATAGAAAGATGCTATCTAAAAAACAAAGCTAATCTCTTAACTAACTGAAGGACAGGCTTGTTCTTTTTATGAACAACTTACAGGCTGAGATATAAGAGTCACATGGCATCACGTACCATATGGGATGATATAATACACACCATTTTACTAAAATTTTGCTTCTAGGAGCTAAAAACCTAAAAAAGAAAGAGCCAATGAATTATAGTATGCTGGTTAGTTTTTAGTCAGCTTGACACAGCTATAGTCATCTGGGAAGAGGGAACATCAATTGAGGCATCTCTAATCAGACTGGCCTTGTAGACAAGTCTCCGGGGCATCTTCTTGATTAATGATTGATACAGGAAGGCCCAGCTCACTGTGGGCAGTGCCACTCTGGGCAGGGGGCCTAGATTGTATAAGAAAGTAAATTGAAAAGGCCATGGGGAGAATACCAGTAAGCAGCACTCCTTCTGGTCTCTGCTTGAGTTCCTGCCTTGGCTTTCCTCATGAACTGTAACATGGAAGTTACATGAAGCTAATTTATAAACTCTTTCCTCCCCAAGTTGCTTTTCATCAGTGTTTTATCACAAGAGAGAATAACTAGACGCTGGGCAGTGGTGACGCATGCATTTAATCGAAGCACTTCAGATGCAGAGGCAGGTGGATCTCTGTGAATTTGAAGCCAGCCTGGTCTACAGAGCAAGTTTCAGGACAGACAGGACTACACAGAGAAACTTGTCTCAAAAAGAAAAAAAGAAAAGAAAAAGGGGAAAGAAAGAAAAAAAAACTAGAACATCCATCTGTATCTACGAAAATGTAGAATTCCTAATTATGAGTAATATCTACAACGCTGATTAGTCAAAACACAAATTATGGACAGTGAAATCCCAATTTTAAGACTATATTGATTCAGATAAAAAAATAGATGTATACCAAAATGTTAAACTGTGATTTTTTTTTAAAATTATTATGGTGTGTATGAGAGTGCATAATTCAAGGGCAAGTGTGCCAGAGTGGAGTATAAGGTCAGAGTACACCTTGTGGGATCAGTTCTCTCCTTCTACCTTTAAGTTCCAGATATGGAATTCTGACCTCCAGCCTTAACTTGCTGAGCTATCTTGTCAGTACAAGTTTCCTAAACTTCCTTTATACCTCTGCACGTTTTCTAAAGTCAACATCATATTCAACCCACAAAAAAAAAAAAAATTCCTACACATGTAGGAAACAAATTAAGTTAGTCATATCTAATCATTATAATATAAGATTTAAAAATCATAAGCTTTGGGCTAACAAGATGGCTTAGCAAATTAAGACAGTTGGTGCCACACCAAACAACCTCAGTTTAACCCCCAGGATCCTATATGTTAGAGAAAACCAATTCCAGTAAGTTCTCCAAATTCCACAAGTACACTGTAGCACACAATCACAATACATATACACATAAAATTAAATAAACAAATACAGAGATATAACCAAAACCCTTTTTAAATCACAAGGAGTTAAAAAACAACAATAACCAAAACAGACAAGCAATAAGGAAAAACTATAATTTCCATTCCAAACCAACAAAACACAATTTTTTTTCCTCTACGAAGCAAACGCTACACACATACTACTGTACCTGCACAAGAAATGCCTCAGGGTCCCTTTGTGTTCCTCTCACTCCAACTAGATTAGAGAAAATCACTTTGATGTTAAAGTCTTCTCCCACTTGCACAGCAAGTCCTTTTTGCTTTTCAGCAGCAATAAATGCACTTAGAAGTCTAGAATATTCTTTGAAATTAGTATAAGAGAATTTATACAGGGGAGTTAAACTATATACGGTCCATTGTTTGTGGAGGAGAAATCCAACCTTCTGAGGATCAATTTCTTCCTAAAACAACAACAACAAAAAAAATCACACAAAAACATTTTAAAAAGTAAAAACATGGATAAAAATTTAATCATAGCAGTTTATATATTTAACATAAATTTACTATGTGGTACATGATTCTGTGTTCCTAAGATTAAACTCAAATGCAGCTTACAGATTTTATAAGCCATTAAAAGGTCCTTGCCTTTGTTCCCTTCCTGCATGGAAAATTCTTCTCCTGGATGTTTATACAAGACAGCTCTCCATTTCATTCAGATCTTAGTTCTTATCTAAGAGGTCACTCTAAAGTAAATGTATCACTTCAAGGCTGTCACTATCTCCGAGCCCTTTTATCTTTCTTCATAACACTTACTATGATCTGGCATTTGACCTGTGTGTGTGTGGTCTGTGTGAACGCACACGCACACACATGCGAGAGAGCTATTTTTCTTGTCTACCTTTCCAATCAGAGTATAAGCTTGCTGGGGACAGGATTTTGTCTACTTCATTGACTCTATCTGCTGGAATATAAATGAATGACATTTCACAGGATTTCAAAAAATATTTCGCCAGGTGTTGGTGGTGCACACCTTTAATCTCAGCACTTGGGAGGAAGAGGCAGGCAGATCTCTGTGAGTTTGAGGCCAGCCTGGTCTACAGAGCAAGTGCCAGGATAGGCTCCAAAGCTACACAGAGAAACCCTGTCTCAAAAACAAACAAACAAAAGTATTTCATAGATAGACATTTATGTTCTACTTTGTATGTATATTGAAAATAGTGGTGCTGTCACTTAATGGCATAGTGCTTGCCTAGCACAATCACAGCCCTGAGCTTCTACCATACACACAAAAGTATTTTTAAAGGATCTAGTTTGATTAGCCTTAAGTCATTTAAAGAATTATTTGACAGCAAGTCTACTTTTTGTAACAAAGCCTAATTCAGTGTAACAAATAAAACAACACTTGGATATATGTTTGTCTATCCTCTATTAGAACAAGAGCCATCAAAAACAAAACACTTTGGTAGAAATGTAAACCAGTGCACACTACAAAGTCAGTGTGGAGGTTCTTAAAAACATTAAAAATATGACCCAGCTAGACACTCTTGAGACTCTGAGTAACACACCATAAAGATACATGTTCAATTCATGTGCATATTAAATAAAGTAAATGTGTTAGACTAGGTATGCCTTTAGTTCTAGCACTCAGGAGGCAGAGACTGGTAGATTTCTGCTAGTTTGAAGCCAGTCTGGTCTACACAATGAGTTCCAGGACAGCCCAGGCTCTATAGAGAGACCCTGTCTTAAACACACACACACACACACACACACACACACACACACACACACACACACACACACACACACAAAAAAGAAATGTGGCATACATACACAATGGAATATTTTTAAGCTGTAAAGAAAGATGAAATCATGACATCTTCATGAAAATGGACAGAATTAGACTGTTATGTTAAGCAAAGTAAACCAGACTCAGAAAGACAAGTACCTCATGTTTTCTCTAATACTCAGAATTTAGATGTGTGTGTGTGTGTGTGTGTGTGTGTGTGTGTGTGTGTGTGGTAGTAGTAGTAGTAGTAGTAGTAGTAGCAGAAGTAGCAGTAGTAGTACTAGTAGTCATGGAAGCAGAAAAGGGACCGTGGCTCACAAAAGGGACATGGTGGCTCACAACCATCTATAATGAGATTTGGTGCCTACATGCCAGAACACTGTATACATAATAAATAAGTAAATCTTTTAAAAAGATACTAAAAGTACTATAAATCATTATATAAATTGGTATATTCCTATTCATATATTTTTAATCACTGACTATCCCAAAGGTGAACAAATCATACCTGCAACTCTGTACCTTGGGGAATTTTCCTTCGAGGTGGACTGGGAAAAAATGAACTCTGTCTCCTGATGGATTCCAGTCGTTTCTGCAGAGGGGTAGCACCTACAAAGTAATCTTTAAGATTTGAGGTTCTTCGTCTAGAAGTTGATCCTTGTGAATCATAAGGATCCATGGTCTGCAATAAGAAAAAAAGTAACTAGAATTCTAAGCACTAAAGTTAACTCATGCATATTACAGGTACCTTTTTTTTTTTTTTTTTTTTTTTGGTTTTTTGACACAGAGTTTTTCTGTGGCTTTGGAGGCTATCCTGGAACTAGCTCTTGTAGATCAGGCTGGTCTCGAACTCACAGCCTACCACCGCCTGGCCAGGTACTTTACTTCTTTATTACTCCCTTTCCTTCCCACTCCCTACCTTTGCCACAGCTTACACTTATTTCCTGTCTAAGTGACTTGTTCTAGTGCTGTGAAGAAAAATACCAAAACAAGAACTTTATAGTATGAATTCAAGAATAAGCCAAATAATGTGACATACATGTTACCAAGGAAACCTGTAAGACCACGATGGATGATGGGCACACCAGGTGCTTCATGATAACCCTAAAGAGCTGCCTCTAATCTGGCTTGCCAATTTCAAAAAGTGAGGGAAGACATGAGGTGAGTTTGTGTGAGCACATAGAAAGACAGAACATTTGTGACAACTGGCACCGTGGGTGATGGCTCTCTTCCAGGATCCTTGGAGGTTGGAACATTCTATCAAGGGAGCAAAGGTCAGTTTTAAGAGGTCAGCTACCTCACAGTCTGCCCCTCCTTTCCTGAAGGAGGTTGCAAAGCAACAGCAACACTATACCCAGGCACTAGAATGGCCCCAGATCACCAATGAAAATGAAAACCGTGTTCCCAAACTGAAGCACTGTTCAAGGCTGCCAGCTTTGCCACTTACGACCCTCAGCGCCAGAAGAGGTGAACTTTCTAGTCAAAAAGACAGAGGACATCTTTACAGACACAACCCCACACCAGCAACACCCTGTAGCCAAAACTTGACCTGCAGAGGAAATGCCTCAACTGCTACCTTCCAAACCTGCCTGTGGAAGGGATTTCCTTTCCTACCAACCCTCCTTCAGCCAGAAAAGTGACAATGCTGAGCCAGACAAGACAGAGAGTAAAGAAGTGCAATTGTCAACAGATTTGTTGCTGGGACTAGAATGGCGTCCTGTGACAATGATGGTCTGGAAAGCAGACTCACACAGTACCTCAGGGGGCATGGCCATTTCCTCCTCCACAGGAGTGGTGTACCACAGAGGAGGAGGGGTGGCAGTATTCTGTAGAGAGGGTAAATCACCTGGAAGAGCCAGTTGTCTATATTAGGGTGACAGTAACCTTGTGCCATCAATTCCTCCTCTGACAGCTTTGGCACCTTAGCTTTATCTGAATTCTCAAAATTTCAGGGCTGGTGTGATGGCTCAGCAAGTAAAGGAACTCACCCCCCCACACACACACACACACACCGTGTACACTTCAGTGGGTTTAGATTACAGAATTTTTCTCTGAAGTATGTTATTGGGTACAATAACTGCTAAGCATTCATTATTTTCCGAGTTTGTTTGCAGTCACGTAACAAATATTAAGCCTTTAATATACATTCTCCTTTTGTTTGGGTTTGTTCTGTTTATAGTGACTGTGTAGCTCAGGTTGGCCTAGAACTCAACAGCAATTCTCTTGCCTCATCCTCCCCTGTGCTGGGGACACATCTGGTACTACGGTTTCACTTACTCCTCAAATGACCCACTGTGTAAGCTATGTTGCCAGCTGACAGACGGGAAGGGTCCGAAATATTCCCCAGGTCTTACCCTTTCAGCAGCTTTTTAGTATCCACAGAACATCTCTCGCCAAATCCTCTTGTACTCAGTTCATAACACACAAGTAAAACTCAGTTACTCCGCTTGTGGCTAGTTAATCACTACAGTCAACCGACTGCTCCAACACCAACGCTCACCTGAACGTTAACTCCAGCGTGTACCCCCTCTAAATACCCAAAAGCATCGCAAAGACAGTGGCCGCACAACAGAGCTCAACAGTCAATCGAGGACCCACCCAAAACATCTTACCAAAAATATGTGGTAGTGACGCTGTCATCCATTCCGGATTCACGAATCATTCTTCAAGTCTGGCTCCAAGACTACGTCGTGAGGAAAACTTTTTTGGTTTTATAAAAAAAAAAGAAGAAGAAGAAGAAGAAAGCAGTCACAATAACTGCTCAGAGAGAAGCGAAGCAGTCCCTGGTGAGTTCAGAAAGCGACATCAAGGCCAGCGAGGGAACCTCGGCTCGCTCAGACGCGGCGACACCTGAAAGAGACTTCACCTTGGGACAGACAGTCCTAGCGGCACTCACTCCTCGGAAGCCAGCGTCTGCCCACGAAAGACAAGCCGTCTCCAAAGCCGGCTCTCGGAAGCTCTCCAGTGACCCGAAACTCCCTTCCCGAAGGCGCAACTCCGCGCACTCCACGCCCTCCCGTTTAAAATTGTTTCCCGACTTGCTCTGCGGCCGATGCAGAAAGCCTCTCCGGTGGCCCGCCGATTTCACGTAAATTAGTAACTGAAGTCGCCATTTTAACTGAGGGCCGGGCTTGTGGACTTGAATCAGAACCGTCAAATTCCCGATTGCGCCGCCTCACTCTTCTGTTTTACAACCGGCGCGAAGCTTTCTCTCGAATTTCCGCCCACAATAAACATGGCGGAGGCGCCCTCGCTCTGATTGGCCGAATCACTTAACGTGAGTTCGGCGCTCGCCGGGCATTTAGAGGGACTGGTTTCCGAACGAGTCTCGTGTCAGGGTTCGAACCTCCAAGCAGTTTGGGTTTGCTCGCCTTGCAAAATTCAAGAGGCCGCCACGTTCGGGAGATTTGAAACACCTGCTTATGCCCTGGTCGCCTTCGAGAAAACGTGGAGATAAAGGAAGGACGCGCCCCTGATGACCGGCCTCCCCACGTCTGGACTGGGCTGGGGTCGCGCTGGCGCAGCGGTTTGGGATCTTTTGGTGTCTTCCGGCCGCAGCCTTGTTTAATTGAAGTGGGAACTGATGCACTGAAGGAAGCAAAGGTTTTGCCCTATCCGCGCACCCAAGGGGCCCTAGAGACCTTGCAGACTAGTCTACTTTGTAGACACTTGAACGTTCTGCGGAGGAGGGTCTGCATGCATTTGAGTGGCAACTGGAATTTTAAGGGTTCCCTCGTATTCCGGAAACCGAGTTTTGAGCACCCACCACACCCGCAGCTTGGGCTTCGTGATTGTCTCTCGCGACCCTGAGCTTCAACATGTATCTTGGTTCTTGGTTAAGTCGTCTATGCAGGGGTTTATCCAGACCCATCGGAAAGACTCCCCATCCGATCTGGGGTTCCCTCTCCAGAAGTCTAAGTTCACAAAGAATTCCAGGTGAAAGCAGGGACGAGCGTCCGCCTGTTTTTGATAGCTTGTTTCCCCAGTCTTAACTGCATTTTTATAGCAAACAGGTCATTCTTTTCACTACTTATAACCAAGGGTTTTTTTTTTCCTTGATTAAAAAGTAATAACCGCACGTAGAACAGACTGTTTAGTTGATACTACTAATAGAAAAACTAAATAAATAAATCTTTTTCACAGTTTTAATATTGTACAAATGATTGTTATAAACTAGATTTGTGCTAAAGCTAAATAGTAACTGCACTGTCAAACTTAGATAATTTCTGTTTTGTTTTGTTTTTGTGAGACAGGGTTTCTCTGTGTAGCTTTGTAGACCAGGCTGGCCTGGAACTCACAGAGATCCTCCTGAGTGCTGTGATTAAAGGCATGCGCCCACCACCGCCCAGCCAAACTTAGATACTTTCTAAGGTCATATTTCACTTGGCAAAGAAACATGTAATATTTAAAATTAGACAATTAGGATTTTAGGCCCATGCAAGTGCCAGGTCATGAAAAAAGTTCAGATTTCTAAACAGAATGCAACATTTTACTTAGGGGCAGTACCTCATTTGGGTTTTGACACATTTGCAGGTAAACACAATAGAGAAATTGTATGATCTAGCCTAATTATAAACCTCATCGGTATATCAAGATGGGTCAGTGAGTTGAGGCAGTTACTGCCAAGTGGAGGACTAGAGTTCATTTCCAGGACCCACAATGGGAATAGAGGAAGAGAACAGAATCCAACAACTTGCCCTCTGACCTCCACATGGCATGTGAGCTCCCACATGTATGGTACATTTTTTATTAACTTCACCCATTGATCTGAAACAGCTATTATACCATGAATGGAGAACATTTTAAACAAACTTCAAATATTTTTACTGTTGCCTTTTAAATGTTTTTTTCTTTTCTTTTTTTGAAGAATTTAGTAGCTTTGTTGCTCGGACCAACACATGTGGAGAATTGCGTTCTTCCCACTTAGGCCAAGAAGTCACTCTGTGTGGATGGATTCAATACCGAAGGTAAACTAAGGCAAATGGTTTAGGAATACATGAAGGTTGTATTCCCAAACAATTCCAACCTTTATTTATGTTTATCCAGTCAAAGAACTACATTTTGCTACTTTTTTAGTTCTCTCAGAATTCACTACATTTTCCATTCTGTTTTGCTTTGGGAAATTCTAATAGTGTCACTCTCATCTGTTAAAGGGTGTAGTGACAAAACCTGGTCACCAGTGGACCGAAATAATCTTGAGCTAACGCTGAAAAGTTCTTACAACCAGCAACTGAGAATAGACTAGAATTATGTAAGTCAGCGGAGAAGCAGTGATGTCGTGGGAGAAAGCTTGCTTTAGTAAAACTTTTAAGTGGAGAAAAGGCTTAAAAACATGAGCAGTGATTCCTTAGGTCCAAAACCCATTTGTTGCTTTTGTTGTTCACCTCTATGTTTCAAAGCATGTTAGCACATTAATTTATATTGAAGAAGTCCAAAATGTGGGTAGCTGTTTGTCACTTCAAAAAGTTTACCCAGGCTCTTAGAGTGCTCAGCATGCTCAATACAAGCATTAATTGTCTTGGCAAGAATCTTGTCCTTAACTTGATTATTTATAACTGTGTCAACACTATGCTGAGTGACAGTGCAGACTTTTATAGTTTTGCCGTAGTAACATTCTTGGAGCATTTCTTTTTCTTTTTTCTCCCCCTTCCTCCCCATAGTGTTTCTCTGTAGCTTCGGAGTGTCCTGGAACTCACTTTGTAGACCAGGCTGGCCTTGAACTCACAGAGATCCACCTGAGTGCTGGGATTAAATGTGTGTACCACCACCACCCGGCAAGCATTTCTTTTTAATTATATTCGTCCCCTGGATATCTGCAATGTCACCCTTGTAAAGTCACATGTATGTAGACAAAGGAATACCTCTGTGCTTTCCAAAAGGCCTAGAGAGTATACATTAGCTGTCTCTTTCCTTTTGAGTTTGCTTTTTAATGAATTACTGGAAAATGGCTGTTCCATCACCTCCCACCCCCTTATGTGTATGGATATTTTGCATGTATGATGTCTGGGTACCATGTGCATGCCTGGTGCCCACAGAAGCCAGAAAAGGGTGTTTAATTCCATGAAACTAAAGTTACAGTTGTGAGCTGCCATCTGGGTGCTGGGAATCAAACCTGGGTCCTTTGGAAGAGCAAGAAGTGCTCTTAACCTCTGTGCCATGTCTCCAGCCCACTTCCCTTTATTAGTAAACTACATAAAGGAAGAAAATTTTAAGCGTCATTTTCTTGAATAATAAAAACTTACTCTTAGAATTTATTCCATTTTCATGATTACAGACATTATAGAGAGGAATAGGCAAACAAAAATAAAGTGAGTGCTTATTCCCATTCAGCCCAATACAGTGTTTTGCCCTTTTTATGATATTCTGGTTAATCTAGCTTACTAACTTGAGTTGAAAGCTGGCACTATAAACTCCTTGGACTTTAAACACTTCCTCCACAGGTAGTCCACGTACTCCTGAATAGCAGCATGAGCTAACTGGTATTCAGTGTTCTTGAGGCTTTCACATCTTAATCCAGCACCTCTCATTGAAGGGGAAACTGTTAAAAGCTTCCTTCCCATTTACTCTCCCAGGCCACCATAATTAGGGGCTGCAGAGATGGTTCAGAAGTTAAGAGCACCGGCTGCCCTTCCAGAGGTCCTGAGTTCAATTCCCAGCAACCACATGGTTGCTCACAACCAACTGTTATCCTCTTCTGGTGTGCAGATATACATGAAAGCAGAATGTTGTATACATAATAAATAAATAAAATCTTTTTTAAAAAGTGCACAATTATAAAAATGGGGAAATTACATGGAACTTTTATTACTGGTTTTGTCTTTAAATTTTGAGTTGAGAGACTTTATCCTAAAATATTCTTTCTTTTTCCATTATTCAGGCAAAACACCTTCTTAGTCCTAAGAGATTGCCATGGTCTTGTTCAAATTATCATTCCCCAGGATGAGGTAATAAAAGGTTTCCTTCCATTATCTAAAGGCTTCTTTGGTAGGATATAGTGTAAGCTAAATAGTTTGATCAGCATTTTTAAGTTTTAATTTCAGGAGTTAATTTTGTTAATAAAAACGAAAACCATATACAGCATTAAGATATGATGAACTGAAGGAATAAAGAGATGGCTAATCTACTAAGAGCACTTGCTGTTTTTGTTAAGCACCAGGGTTCAAGTCCCAACACTTACATGGCAGCTCACAGCCATCCCTAACTCCAGTTCCAGGGGATCCAATGTTCTCACTGGCTTCCAAGAGCACCAAGCATGTGTACGTTACACTCACATACATTCAGGCAAACCTAATACCATAGACAAAAGCCAGTTTCTCTAATATATAAAAAGCTATGCAAAAGGGGGAGGTGGGAGTGCCAGGTGGCAGGATGGCTCAGAGGGTATAAAGGTGCCTGCCACCAATCCTGACAGTGTGAGCTCAAAGCCCACATGGTAGAAGGAGAAACCAACTCCCACAAGTTATCCTCTGACTTCTATTAGTGCCATACTGCCTCATGTGAGTGCTTGCATACACACATACACACACACACACACACACACACACACACACACACACACAGACACACAAACACACACACTAAATGTAATAAATAAATTAGCTATCAAAAAATCAATAAAGGACCCAGAATGTGAAGATGAAATTTATAGAAAAAAAAAATAACCTAAAAATAATTTTCAAAGAAAATATAAGTCAGACATAATAGCATACACTTAAAATCTCATCATTGGGAAGCAGATGCAAGAGCTCAAGAA